GGTTTTTCTCAGATTCCCGGTGTGGATTTTCACCACTCATCATCCGCATGCCCTTCCGCGGTGTGCATCAAAACTATGGTGGCCCTATCCACCGAGAATGGTAGGAGGCCTGTCCACTGGGACATCAAGCAGGCGTACACACACGCCAAGCTGAAGGAAGAAATCTACCTGAGGCTTCCAGACGGTTGTGGTGTTTGGACTGGCACGGCGGTGAAAGTCGAGCGTGCTCTGTATGGACTCAAGCAGAGTGGGCGCGAGTGGGGGTTTGAGGTTGCCGATGCCCTGATCTCAAACAGCTAAGACCAGTGCAGGGTGGACCCCTGCATTTTCCGCAAGGTGGTTGACGGAGAAGTCGTAGGTCTCATCGTGATCTACGTGGATGACATCATGTTGTCCGCGACCGAGGAGGAGCGTGAAGAGTTGCTAGCGTCTCTCCAGAAGAGATTCCCTGTGAAGGATCTAGGAGATTGTACCTGGTACGATGGGTGTGCCATTGAGGTGGACCTTGAGAATGGTACCACCAAGCTGTCCCAGACGGCTTATATCGAGAGCATGCTCAACCGCTTCAATGTCACGACCACTGCTCCCACGCCCGCTGTCGTCGACGATGACCTAGGGCCGAAGAGAGACGACGAGTCCTCGGTGGACAAGCCCGTGAGGGAAGCGATCGGATGCCTGATGTAGTTGCTGTTCACGACGCCGGACGTCGCGCTGCCTTTGAACAAGCTGCAGAAGATCGCCCACTCACCCACCGAGAGGATGTGGAACGCGCTTGTGCGGATCATGTCCTACCTCAACGAGACGAAGGACCTCGGGATCACCTACGTCCGCGGATCAGGGCTAGACCTAGACGTGTTCGTCGATTCTAGTTACGCCGACAGCACCGTTGACAGGCGTTCGACGACGGGGCTAGCCGTGACTGTAGGTGGGACCGTAGTGTGCGCATCCACCAAGACACAGCCAGTGACGGCTCAGTCGACCACGGAGGCAGAGTATATTGCAGCCGGGGAGGGCGTGAAGGAAGCGTTGTTCGTGCGTGGTGTTCTGTCGTTCATTGCGCCCGAGACGAGCGGTGCCACGATCAGGATCTGTGAGGACAACGAGGGGGCTCTCGCGTTGGTGCAGAACCCTTTCAGCTCGGCGAGGAGCAAGCATATCGACGTGCGGTTCCACTTCATCCGCGAGCTCTTCAAGGCGGGCAAGATCACCGCAGATTATGTCTCGACAGAAGAGCAGCACGCCGATATGCTGACCAAGGTCCTTGGTAGGGGCAAGTTGGAGTACCACCGGTAGGCTCTGATGAACCTTCC